CCGTTCTACCGCAAACAGGTAATGCCTAAGTCTCCAACGAGCGAGCAGCAATACACCTAACTGCTAGAACACGTACGATAGCATCATCCATAAAAACATCAACAAATCGTAGGCCGAACTACGGCTGCTCTGATTCTTTACTTCGTTCAAGTAAAGATACGCAGGCACAAGGGCCACAATCCTTGCCGAGCACAATCCCTTATATCAGTAGTTTCCCGAACTACGTCGACTCTGATTTTCTCATATCCGTTGAGAATACGTAGGCCTAGGACCGCGAAGTCCTACCGAGTCCGTTCTTTCCCTTCTTCCCCCTGTTACCTTTCTTTTCCCGTTTCTAAGCCCTTTTTCACTATCCCGTGGAACACTCTTTTATAGCATAATCTTTTTAAGCAAATAAATCACACACAACAAACAAATGGTTCCCATCGAGTACGATGGATGCGAGGGGTGCTAATACCTTCCCCTTGCATAACCGGCTTCTGAACCCAATCTTGGTTGCGAGACCATCTTGTCCATTCTTTTCTTAAGGTTTTCTCGATATTTTCCTTTCCCCTCATGGGATAAATAAAGTTCGGTGGAGACTCTTCTGTCCTTTTCCTTTTCGCCTTCCCCGTCGTTGCGTGTATTTTTCGAGTAGCGACAGATACGTAGGCACAAGACGGTGAAGTCTTGGCGAGCAACCTTCCCCCCTTCACCAGTAGTTTTTTTAACTATGTTGACTTTGACTTTCCCATTGCACGAGGGAATATGTAGGCCTAGGACGGCAATGTCCTATCAAGTCTCCTTTTTGTTTTTTCCTTTTCATCCTCGTCTTCGTTTAGCGTTAGGCATTAGATAACACACCCTTTGATTAGACAACAAGTGTGTATCCCGTTGAGAACAACAGATGCGAGGGGGTGCTGATATTTTTCTCTCGCGTAATCGACTCCCGAACTTATGATTTGGTTGCAATAACCATGTCTTCTCCCTTCTTTGAGGTTTTCTTCTATCATTTCCTTTCCCCGTTGGAATAAATAACGTTTGGTGGTGACTCTTCTGTTTTTCTGTCGAGTGTTTTTTACAGTTCCTACACATTGGACATTCTCCAATAGGTAAGCTTCTTTACCTTTTCAAACTTCATGATTTAAGCATCATTTACATTCATATAAGTTACTATTCTGCATGTTATGATGTGAGGAACAAAAACCATATGCCTGTGTCGATTGACTGTACATATTTGGAATTTAATTTTTGTTTTAGAAATTAGGGTTTATTTGGTTATTCTTGAAATTATTGAGATAGAGAAAAAATAAATGAATTTTGAATGCATATTTGAATTCCTTGTCAAATTCCAAGTGAAATGATGTATTCATTTATCTTGTTTGGTTCCTAAATAAGAAAGTTGTAAAAATTCAAAATCTAGTTCCAAGGTTGAAGATGAAGATCTGCACGCGTTTTTCATATTTCAAATAAATGCTTAATATATTATGTTTTGGGGCGAGATTGTTGACAACCCAAATGGCTTGGCCTATTGGTTGATGGTTTTGTGAAACATCCTCGGGGACGCAGGTTCGATCATGCCCCCCTCCCCCCTTACCTTTTTATGACTTGTTTATTTTTCCTTTTCTTCATTTATTTTTCTTTTATTATTTTTTTAATTAAGTTATTTCATTTTTATTTTTTTTCCATTTTCATTTTTAATATTTCTCTAAATACCAAAAATATCCAAAAATATTTTTTTTCATATTATTTACTTTTATTTTATTAAACTTTTAAATGATTTTAATTAATATTAATTATCTTTTATTTTCTTTTAAACTTTAAAGCATCCAAAAATACTTTTATTTTCTTTCTCCTAATTTTATCCTCTTTTTTTAATAATCAAAAATCAACTTCTTGATCATTTATTAGGTGTCACATTCATGCATATGTTTCTTTTAGATTTATCATTTTGTTAAGTGATTTAAATTTATCCTTATTTGTAATATTTAAGATGTGTTTAGATTGTTCAATGAATTAGGGTTTGTGGCTTGCTTGCTTAACTAAATCCTTGCTTTCAAACCATGCCTTGATTTCTTGCTTTTGTGTTAACATCATCTTTGTGTATACATGTTGTAAATAGGGATGATGAACCATGTTTGCCCTAGATAAGTCATGTTGATTTTGTTCTTTTTTTTTAAGTCTTGTTCCATGTATATCTTTGCCCATGTCTTGATAACATCCCATTGAAGTATGTCTAAATGATTTATCCATGTTCTTATTCATGTTTTAAAATGCTAACTTGTATCCAAACATGCTTTTATTAAATGTAAAACTTTGTACATGTTTGTTGATCCATTTTTAATCACTTGTACCATGTACCCCGTGTTTATCTTCTTTGTTGAATGATTGTGTACAATTGTATATACATGTTGCCTAATCCAAGGGATGGACTCATTATTGACTTTATGTCGTTCTGCATATGAATCTTTATGTTCTTGTCCTTTTTTTTGTATGATTTACTATCCTTAGCATGTATCTCTTAGGAAGATTCCCTTAGTTTGTTTTCAATTACAGGTTACTCAATTAGGGTTTCCCCTTTCTAAACTTAAGATCTCTTTCAACAAAAACCTTGACATTAGGTCATTGATTCTTCATATACAAAATCTCTTCTAAACTTCTGTATATACATATATACACACACACACACACACACACACACACACACACACACACACACACACACACACACACACACACACACACATATATATATATATATATATATATATATATATATATATATATATATATATATATATATATATGTTTGTGTCAAATATATATATATATATATAGACACACACACACACACATACAAATATATATAGTCAGACACACACAATAGGTAGAGGAGATGTTATCAGACACACACAATAGTTGTCTGATATTATTTTGTTGTAGTAATATACTCTCTAATTTATTTTTACTGTTTTATTATATTTTGGATCTCGATTGTACAACATTTTCTACATATATTGCTATACTTCTTCTAATATTAGTCTCTTATTATTCTGTAAGTTAATTTTTTTATTTTGAATCGTGCGTTATACTTCATCTGAAAACAAATACACAACTTATAGTAAAAAAAATACATGTTCTGATACACTTCATAGATGTATCTCCGAAATATTATCGAAGATACATCCCTGAAATAATTCAAATGTAAATGGCTTCTGAGTGACATGTTTTAAATATTTAAAATTGTTCTGAAGTAGTATCTCAAAAATATGTTAACATTTATTCAGAAATAGGTGCGTCCAGCGTGAATCTCCGAAATCTAAAAAAATTTAAATAATTTTACCTAGTGGCTCAAAATTATTTAAAATACATTAAAAAATTCTCTTATGGGTTTTTCTTCCTTATTTATGAGCCCAACATTCTTTTAGGCCTCTTGGATTGTAATAATTCACCAAAAATTCAAGAAAATTTTACTTCATAGCTCTACTTTTATTCCTATGCCCATACATTATATAAAAAAATATCAATTTTACCCTTATATATTTATAACTAATATATTATTTTATTTTTTAAAATTTTATTTTTTTGTACCGAAAGACTTTGCAAAATAGTTTCGGTAGTGATTTTTTAAATATTTGTTAACTTTTTTTTTGCACCGGAAGACCTTGAAAAAGAGTTTCGGTAGTCAACTTTAGAGTACCGAAAATCTTTACAAAAGAGTTCAGGTAGTCAACTTTAGAGTACCGAAAATCTTTACAAAAGAGTTCAGGTAGTCAACTTTAGAGTACCGAAAATCTTTACAAAAGAGTTCAGGTAGTCATTTTTTAAACTCTTTTTTGTGTACCGAAATATTTTACAAAAGAGTTTCGGTAGTAAATTTTTGTGTACCGAAAGACTTTGAAAAAGAGTTTCGGTAGTCATTTTTAAAAATATATTTTTTAACTTTTATTTAATGTAAAAGAAGACTTTACAAAAGAGTTCCGGTAATCAATTTTTGTGTAATGGAAGTCTTTACAAAAGAGTTTTCGTAGTCTTTTTTTAACTTTTTTTATATACCAGAAGAATTTGTAAAAGAGTTTCGGTAGTCAATTTTTGTGTATCGGAAGACTTTACAAAAGAGTTCCGTTAGTCGTTTTTTTAAACTTTTTTTGTACTGGGGAGACTTTGCAAAAGAGTTTTGGTAGTCAATTTTTGTGTATAAGAAGACTTTGCAAAATAGTTTCAATAGTCATTTTTTAAAACATTTTTTAACTTTTATTTTGTGTATCGAAATTCTTTTACAAAGTCTTCTGGTACGTAAAATAAAATAAAATAAATAAAAAAATAAAAATAAATAAATTAAAAATATAAAAGAGTAAAATTAATATTTTTAGTAAATTGTAGGGTATAAGAATAAAAGTATGAGTATGAGATCAATTACCATCAAATTAAAAGTCACATATTATAACATGCACTCATGAAAAACCGAGTTAAATTTCCACAAAATTTATGCGCGTGACTTAATTGACATATTTGGTATGTGTAATTCAAATACATTGAATAAATTAATTTAAAAATTAAATTTTTATAAAGTAAAAAAAAAAAGAAAAAGTCAATTATAATTATAATAAAGAACTAGAATTATATGCCAATGTTCAAAAAGCCTGTTCTAGATTCTCTAAATTAATGGTGATACTTATAATTACTATTATTTTTCCTGATTATGTAATTTTCCAGTTTTGGTATATTGTAGATCCAATTTCCAAACAACACCGTACGATCCACATCATTACAAAATGAACCAACGGCTACGATGAAAAACCCTGCAAATAAACCATTTAAAGGCAAAAAGTTAATCAAAACCGCGTTTCAATTTTCCCCCTAAAAATACATTACCGTCCATATAAAATTTTGTACCAACTTTTGACTCATTTACCCCTCATCACCAACTATTCACAAATTACTATATATATAAGCAACATATAGAAGCAAATATTATTATTCTCATTCTCTTTCAGTCTCAAATCGCTTAGAAAACAGTAATGGCTTATTACAATCAAAACCCTCCTCCGGTTAACGTTAACGTTAGTGCTCCTCCACCTCCGGGAGGGTATCCTCCACCGGGTTATCAAGGCTATCCACCACCTCCACCACCTCCTCAGCCTCAAGTTGTTGTCTCTCAAACTGCACCTCAAAACTCTGCTGCAGCACAAACTGGTTTAATGGCATGGTATGTATACATACTTGTCTCAAAACATGTGTAAAACAACCAAATTAAACGTTACATGAATTGCATTTACGAGATATATATAATTTGTGTTGCAGCTTGGCAGGGTTGTGCTGTTGCTGCTGCTTGGAGGAGACTTGTTGTTTGTGCTGTTTATGAAGAATTTACATGTTCAGATCAAGATTGGGAAACTTTATTTGCTTTTGTTGCTATTGTTAATTTCTTATGATTTATCATTTTTAATGTTGCATCAGTATCAGTATCAGTTAAATTTTATTGATAAACCGATATATTTTAGACGAATTGCTCAGCTAATATGATCAAGTGTATTTTATAAATCTATATGTATTTGGCTTGATTTCATGTTTAGTCTATTAAATATTGCAATTATGCGCCATTTTGGTCTCTATATTTATTTTAGTAATTTTAATTTTGGTCTCTATATCTAATTCTTTTTTAAGTTAAAGCAAATTAGCCAATGATCCGTTTATTTAAACTTTAAATTTTTATTTTTTATAAAGTAATTTTATGAAAATAATTCTAAATTGTAAAAGTCTTTTTTAATTTAATTTTATAAATTAAAACATCAATTTTGACATCTAAAAGTATAAATATACATTATTAAAGATAAAAATAGAGTCAAAAATCACCTAATATTTTTAAAGATATATCTCGAAATCTTTTTCTAAAAAAATGTTATTCAAACAACTTTATATTTAATTAATTTTTTAAATACTTTCTCATTTATTGTTTTTTTCCTTATATTTCTTTATTATATTTTCATAAACAATAATACATAATAATGACAAACTATTTTTAAAAAAATTGAAACAAACATAGTCTAAATGACATAACAATCAACTAATAAGAAATAAAGAACAATTAACAAATTATTATTAAAAAAATATTTTAAAAAAATATTTTTTAAATGGTTATTTAAACTAAATAAAAATTTAAATTTAATATTTTAATTATTGGTTGAATATGATAGTTTAATTAATATTTGTTAGTTGAGTTAAATGATACTTAGCATAATTTAAATAAATTAAATAAATCAATGATATTTATAATTTTACAATTCTAAAAAGTAGTTTTATTATTTTACCTTTTAGTCAAGATCTTCTTTTAAAGTAGTGTTACTCAACACTCAATAAAAAGTAATATGACAAGTTGCTTAATTAATAAAGGTTTACAGTTTAGTACCTTATTTAATTAACATTACAGTTTAGTATTTTAAAAACTGTTCTATTATCAAATTGATTCTTACCGTTAAATTTTTTTAAAAACCGTTAATTTCGTCTACGGAGAATGACAAGAAAGCATTTAATAATAGTCTGAATCAGCAAATTTATTAAAAAATTAGTATTTTATTTAAATTGAAGAGATTTTAATTTTAAAAGTTAAAAAATCCCACAAAATATTAATAATATTTAAAAAAAATAAAAATACTACGTTACTATCATAATATTCATTAAATCTTTCCAAAACTGAATAATCGCTCATACAATAACAAAACATAAAAAATAAAAATAAAAAACCTAGAATATGTTCTTCTTTAAAAATATAATACACCATTCATTAAAGGACTAATTTTCATACAACTTCTCAAAACAGTATTATCCTCAATGATTATTCCTCTGGTTGCATAATTGTGTGAAGAGTTTATAATGCTTATAAAGAATGTCCCAATATCCTAACACACCAAAACACAACAACTATTATTAGAAAATTGAAAGAGATATAAAAGTTGAAAAAATAAATAAATTAGCTTACACTAATAAATAGAAAATAAACACAATTTTCTAAAACTTAGTAAAAAATAGATGAGTAGTCTACAATGTGCATGAAGAACTCACCTTATAAATTGGATCACCTGTAACTTCATAATGCATTTGAGCTCCAACAACAACTAGGAAATACTTATTAGAATTAGAATGAAATCTAACTATGTCATTTTCCTACCAGAAAAAAGAGTTTCTAAAATAATTTTTGGGATCATTCATAAAATTAAATATAATTTCTAAACTAGAGTACAGTCACTGAAAACAGAAATCAAGAACAAGTAAAAAATGGTTGAAGAATTTCATCAAACAATTTCTATGTAGTCCTGCTAAATCACCTTTTTCATCAGAAAATTAGATGAAGATGAAATCATTGAATTTTTAATGGTCGATTTAAATAAATATGAAAGGAATGGAATTAATGGTAGAAGAAGGAGAAAAAAGGGAGAGGAAGGAGTAAGAGAGGTGACGGCTAGGTTTCGGGGAAGATAGGAGTAAGGAGAAAGAAAAGCTGATGTGGTGGATAAACTATTATTTAATAAATTATAAATAATAAAATATTAATAAATAATTCTAAGTCAGTTAAATTAATACCAGCGGGAGTGCCATGTCTGCTCAACTTAAAGGATTTTGAAAAAATTTAACGGAAAAGACCAATGTGATTGGAGCTTAAAACAAACGCTTATTAAATAAGAGACGAAAGTGAAATATGAAATTAAATTAATGGACCAAAAGATGCATTAAGTTATATATATATATATATATATATATATATATATATATATATATATATATATATATATATATATATATATATATATATATATATATATATATATATATATATATATATATATATATATATATATATATATATATAATGAATGTAAGTCTGCTCATGAGAGTTGTAAGAGACTATGTAAGTAGTGTTTATGTGGAATTTAGCGATTTCTTTTTTTCATTCTTTGGCCAGAGTATTTATAAAAGACCATATAGGCTGGAATATATATATATATATATATATATATATATATATATATATATATATATATATATATATATATATATATATATATATATATATATATATATATAATGAACGTAAGTCTGCTCACGAGAGTTGTAAGAGACTATGTAAGTAGTGTTTATGTGAAATTTAGTGATTTAATTTTTCCATTCTTTGGTCAGAGTATTTATAAAAGACCATATAGGCTAGAATAGGAAAAATTCCTCCTAAATATTTTAGTAGGATGTGGGGGTGAGAAAGACCGACTCTTCCTTAGATCATAGAGGATGATGTTTTCCCCTTTTGACTAATGATATGGATAAACTCATAGATCACTTATGAAATATGTATGGATCAACTCGAGCATCCCAAGCCCAATGCGACGGTCTATAGAGATATAATAAGGCGATCTATCATTCTATTTCTGGCGGTCTGTCATTCCATGTGGGGGGCTCTACTGCCCTCTAATAGGTTCTCGCCAAATATTAATTAGTGGGTTTGGATTGCATCTCTATATATCGTCCCTTCTAAGGCCTAATAAAATTATCTCGACTCACTATCTTTTATGGTCCAATAAAAATATCCCAGTACACGGTCTCTTAAGTACGAGACCTTGGAAAGGGCAGAGTTATTTAATCCACATAGAAGGTAATTTACTTTGGTGCAAGACTTAGATAGTCGAGTCTCTTAGGTGAGACTTAGGAAGTCGAGTCCCATATGTGAGACTTAGATAGTTGAGTCCCTTAGGCGAGACTTGTAAAGGCTAGTCCTTTAGATGAGAGTTATAAAGACGGGGGTCCCTTAGAAAAGATTTTGATAATTTGATTCCCTCGAGCGAGAATTAGATAATTGAATCCTTCTTAACAACTTTTAATTGTCTACTCTCACATTATTTGCATTGTTTTCTCATTCAATGTTTTCTTGCCACATCGCCTTTTATAATCTCTTTAAATATAATACTCTCGTCTTAGATGGTATATTTATTGATTTTTTTATTGTTGTTTCTTGAGTTGGCAAAAATACCTTGTAAGGCTTAGTCTAAGGGGCAATTATAATTTTAACTCCTGACTCAAGTGAGATGGTCTCTTGGGACCACCTTGACTTCTCACCTAAAAATAAGACCTTATAAGGGTGGGATGATTTAAATTTGTTATACGTTAATCCTTGAGATGAGGATTGGAGGGCGACTTTCTTATGTGTAGCTTTAAGCGAGCATGTGAAACGTTTAATGCTTTAAGTATGTACATTTTTTGTTCACTATTTATATTTCTCCCTTGGTAGGCCCTTTTGTAGTCACACCCTTCCAGATTTATTTAATGAAGATGTTTAGTCCATATGATGATTTGCCTTATTTTACTTGAATTTCTTTATTTGTAATTGTCATATCCTAATTTTTGACCTTAAGATTATGTTTTTCTTTTTGCATCATCTGCATAGCATAGCATGCACTTCATCTTGCATAGTATCTGAAATGTCAGTCAGAATAAATTTGTTGGATTTACAGACAACTGGTCTAAATTTATTTCAAAATATGACCAAACGCTATATTTTTCCAATATGTTTATTTCGCACTGATTATTTTGGTGTGTTCATTTTATTTTTTCGAGCACTTTTATGCCCCACTTTTTATTTTGTTTTTTAATCATTTTTATTTAAATAATCATTTAATTTATTTAGATTTAATTAGATATTTAATGTAAATTTTTATTTTTATTAATTAATTTTATTTTTAATTTGTTTATTAATATTTTCTTTTTTAAAAACACAAAAACATAAATTTTAATTCTTTTAATTCTTGTCTTATCATAAACACAAAAACATGATTTTTATTTTTTTTATTCGTGTCTTATCATAAAAAACACAAAAACATAATTTTTAATTTTTTTTATTCTTGTCTTATCATAAAAAAACACAAAAAACATAATATTTAATTCTTTTTATTCTTGTCTTATCATAAAAAACACAAAAATATGATTTTTAATTTCTTTTATTCTTGTCTTATTATAAAAAACAAAAAAAAAATAGTGTTAATTGTTATTATTATTCTTGTCTATTTTCTACTCATATATATATATATATATATATATATATATATATATATATATATATATATATATATATATATATATATATATATATATGCATTAGAAAAAATAAAGAGACACAAAAAAACAGACAACAAAAAAACATTTGTCCCCTCATTACTCTCTCTCTCTCTCTCTCTCTCTCTCTCTCTTTCACATTAAAACAAAATAAATAAATAAAAGAGAGGTCATACTTCATCTTCACACAAGTTCATGAATAACAACAATGAAGTCGTTTTTCTTTCAAGCTCATAACAAATCTGCAAAGTACGGTGAAAGTCTCTACAT